GTAGATCCTAATTACTTCTCATGATTCATAACACCCCACAAATCATGAAAAATAATCCACCTCGTAAAGATGACAAATCAACAAATTCACTCAAATCAAAACAAAGTTCTGAATGAATATGTTTATTCATAAATGATAAATAGAGAATTTGGAAAATAAACAACCTAGCAAAGATGATGAATCAATAGTAGATACTACTAAAAACGTTAAACATGGGTTATAAAAATTCAAGCAGGAGTTTCATAGAAGGGTGTAAACTAGCATTTACCTGTCTTCTTCAACTGCTTTACTTTCAGTTTTGAACTCTTCTTCATCGGGAATTTAACAGAAGGTTTATTGGCATCTTGCAATGTACCTAATTTCCATAAAAATTGTAGCTTTTTTAATATGTGACCAAAAACTCAAAACTGATTCATAACACAGACAGAAAATTGTAGCTTTTTGAATATGTGACTAAAAACTCAAAACTGATTCATGAACACTCTTCATATCATACACAATCTATTTGTCAATAAAAATTCTAATTAATTTAAAGCAATCAGAAATTAAATAATGACAATCAGTAATACAACACTGAGTAATTAAACAGGAACAAAATCATTCAATAAATTAGCTAATTTTGCTCAATTAATCTTAGTTAACGACGGATTATTAATTGCGTACCATCAACAACAGCCATCTCGACATCTTGCATAGTAATTAAACCCTCCTTCACTCCCTCCTTTTGCTCCTGTTTTTACCAAACCAGTTAAAACGATGTTAGCAATATTAAACAACACAATGCGTACAAACTCCAAAGAGCCTTTGAATTTCATATGTGATTATAAAAGAGACCCGGCGCCATTTCTTGAAGAGCTTGCGCTTTCGCTTGCCGGAGATGGAGAGCGGTTGGGGCTTTTGCCGGAGCTTTCCGGTGGATGGTTCACCGTGCACTTGTCTCTTCCGATCCGCTATCGCGGCCCTCCGCCGCTTCTGTACCACGTTGAATTTCGCCATCACGGCAAAGAAATAGCAGTTAAACCCTAATATGGTATTTCTGTCTCCACTATATTAAATCGACGAACCCGGTTTTGTAGTTCTTAAAATTTGGG